CCTCCGCGCACGGGCACAGCGCGCTCCCCGCGGCCGCCGGCGTCCCGGGCGTGGACGCCCTGCGGGAGATCCGCTGGTAGTCGGCGTGGCGTCTGGGCGGCTCCTCGGAACACAGCAACTGGTGAGTGAGCGGCAGCGCGAGGCCGGCGAGGAGCCCGAAGGCCGCCGCGTAGACGGCGAAGAGCAGCAGCACGTAGGAGCTGGCGCAGTCGGCCCCGCAGCCCCAGGCCGTGCGCACGAAGGCGCCCCAGCCGCACAGCGGGAGCGCGGCGAGCCCCAGGCTGGCGGCCCACACGGCCAGCGCCACGCCGAGCACCTGGGCCGAGCTCCTGCAGCCCGCCGGGCTCCCCGCCGCCCGGTACGTGGTGTAAAAGTTGTAGGAGACTAGCAGAGTCGCCTTCAAGTTGCTGGAGAGGCCCTGGCACGTATACAGGAAGGCGGAGGTGGTGCACAGAGACTGCAAGTCGCCCGGGACCTCCTCGTTTGGCCACTGCAAGAACATGAAGATGGTCACCGACAGGACACTCAGGAGGTCGTCTCCAGACCAGGAAGCCACGAGCATGGACACGGCTGTCCTGTTGTGCATTTTCAGCAGGGACACTAGGGAATAAATGCTGCCCGCCAGGGCTGCAAGAGTCAGGAGGCATGTCAGGCAAAAAAGGAAGATATTCAGAGTTCCTGGTGCGTTTACAGGGTCCGTAGAATTATGATTTTCCTCCCACGGGCTGGAGTCATTGGTTGACAGATTATTGGCAAATGCAGACATGGTCCGTAGTCAATATTTAATTTCCTCTTTCAACGAGTCTGCACATTTTCTCAAAATGAAGTACGGCTTTGAAAATGGCAAATCAGATTTCATTTTCTCCTCACAGGTCTCCCTCAATTCCCCAGGACACCCCTGAAAGTAAAGATCAAGAGGTATATCTCCTCTAGATCAGACTCAACCCCAGGTAAAATTCTCGTTCCATTTAAAATGTTAATAAGAAACTTTGCAACCTTTCAATGGAAAACAAATCTAAATAAAAACAAAACCCTCCAGTTCACCACCAAGTTTCAGGTTAAAGAAAAGAAAGAGCCCGAGCTCCCCAGGTAGACTGACAGTGATGCTGGTCCTTTGGGTCCTTCTTAGGGAGTAAAGCAGCGTGCGTGTAGCTTGAGGTAATCAAACTCTGTTCACTTTTAAAAGCAGTGAAAGGAAGCATTCGGTTCCAGAGCTGGATTCAAAGGCAGGCAGAGAGATGGTAGGCAGGTTTCAGCTCTGCAGGCTCCCAGGGAGGCAGAGGCACTGACAGGACATCTGAGCACAGGCTGGAGCCAGGGCGGCAGTGTTCTTCAATCAGCCTGTGATCCTGCGAGCTGCAAGAAGGAGGAGTCATCTCCCAGCTGAAGAGAAACCAGAACAAAACAGAGGGGAGTTCCGTGGATGGGAGAAAGGCTCTGTCTCTCTTCAGCCCCCCTCATCCATGGAGAGAGATGCTGTAGTTGCTAGGCTGGCCCTTTGGGTTTTCACATAGCATACTAGCCCGAATACTTGTCAAGGAAATGTATGAATGACAAATACAATTTTTGAGAAGTCTACACTACTCCACTAACTAACGGACTGCTTCCGTTCTCATCTAGTTTTCTCCGCTTTACAATCCAAGGGGGGAAGAAATCAATGCCAGTTTTGATGAAATAGTGCTTGTCATTTGTGGTTCTTTTTCAATGTGCTTCATAAGAGAAAATTAGCCTTTATTACACTAAAACAAGATTATGTGGAATCTTTGGATTAAGACCAATTAGCTTTAAGCACATAAAGCTATTTCTTTTTGGTCAGTGTCCTCAAGAAAGCAGCCTACCGTTTATAGAAATGACAAACTATTGCTCGTTGTCATTGCGTTGATTGAGACTCATGGCAAGCCCAGGTTTACAAAGTAGAACTATTCTGTGTGGTTTCCTTGTAATCTTAATGGAAACGGGTTACCAGGCCTTTCTTCCCTGGGCAGTGAGTTTGCATGACCAACCTTTAACTTAAGCAGCCCAGTGCAATTCATTTGGGCCCCTGAGGGGTCTTGTTTCTGTCAGGTGCCAAAAATCAGTCAGTTACCTATGAATTTAAGCGGGCACAGCTGGAATGCTCTTGGAGGCCCGAATAATGAAGCTTTGCCTAACATACTTTGGGCATGTTGCTAGGAGGGACTAGTCTTTGGAAAAGGAGAAGGACATGATGCTGGGAAGGGTGGAGGATCGGTGAAGGAGAGGAAGACCCTCAAGCAGGTTAACTGACACGATGACTGCTGCAATGGGCTCTTGTGTGTCAGGAAGTATGAGGATGACACAGGATAGAACAGGGTTCAGATCTTTTGTTCACTGGGTTGCTATGTGTCATATTCGACTCGATGGCACCTAACAACAACAAAACAACAGAACAGAGCTACCCTTCAGGGTTTTCTAGCCTGAAATTTTGATGAAAGCAGGGTGTTCCTCCCACGGAGCTTCTGGGTAAAAGCTAAAAGCTGGGCCACTAATAGTCCTTCTAGGAACGTTAAACCCACTATTCCAACTAGTCCTTATAGATGTAGTCCCATTGGATTTGTTAGCATGGGAATGGTTACGGAAGCATACTACCACATCTCTGTCCCTTGGCGTAGCTGGTAGGTTGAAACCACTAATCTTGAGGTTAGTTGTTGTTGTTATTGTTGTTATGTGCCGTCAAGTTGCTTGCAACTCATAGCGACCCTATGTAGAACAGCCCTAAACCCTCCTCTAACCTGTGCCAATCACACTGTCTCCGACACACCCATCCCGATTACCCCAGTCACTGAATCAATCCACCAGTCCGTAGAGGGGAAGCCTCCTGCGCTGTCCCTCCACCCTCCCAAGTATGATGTCTCTCTCCGAGGACCTCTCCTCCTTACAATATGACCAAAGTATGTCAGACGAAGCCCCAGAATCCTTGCCTCCAAGGAGCAGCCCGGTTTAACCCTCTCCAGGATGAATCTATTTGTTTTCTTAGCAGTCCATGGTACATTCAATACTCTTCTCCAGCACCACAGCTTGAGGTTAGTAGGGACCATATTAGTCATTAAGTTAGATGACATTGAACATTTGCAGGACGTACAGAGGTTACTCTATGAAAATGTTTCTTTGGGGTACTGCCTACAATCAATTTACCTCTCAACTCATCATTTTGCAATATTGGTGGTTTAGCAAAAACTGCTTCTCAGGAGTAGTCCTGGCTGGACATTTCGGAGGAAGCTTTGGGATGGCATTTTTTCTTCAGTCACTTCCTGCCTGCAGCATTCCTGCATACAGTGTGGGAGGCCTGGGTTGGAAGCGAGCAAGGCGAAGAGTCAATAAGGCAATGGCCTAAATGAAAATCAAGGTTGTGGGACTGTGATCATGCCGTTCATTCTAATATTTGAGGCTTCCTTTTGAATCTGGAAAACTCATGTGTTAATTATCGTCAACCACAGCCTTCAATAAACACTAGGCATCTTGCTCATCTTGATATGTATATTATTTTTCCCAACACTCAGAAAAATGGAACAAAAAAAATACATATGCAGCTATTTTAGAACTCTAGATTTTCCTGCTTACAGTGATGGACCCTGCGGTGCAGTATGAATAGGAAAGGCAAGGGGTAAATTCTTTATACAATAATACGGCTTCAGAAAACCCAAAATGATCAATAGACTTTATCTAGCAATCTATCATTATTATACTAAAACTTCTGTAGTTTGGCGTTTTATCTTTTTTCTTATATCTCACTTCTCTCTGCCAGAAGCAAAAATGTTGTTCTTAAATATGGAATTTAATTTGTTTTTCGGTTGCATTGGGGAAATAAGTAGCATTTCAGTAGCAATGAGGAGACATTTACAATAGCTGTTGCAATATCATTTTAGGTCTGAAGGTATTTCCCCTATCCTTTGAATTTTCAAATTAACATAAACTTGAAAAAGGGTCACACAATTGACTGCCTCTGAAAACCCAATTTCAGCCAGCTCTGGATCGGTTCCAGCTTGATGGTACACAACAACAACAACAACAACAGCAACAACAACCACCACCTTTATGTTTTCAACACATCTATAGAAGCAGCAATCAAGAAATCTAAAGATACTGTAAATTGCTACCTAACTTGGAGGGACTGGAGAGCATTATGCTGAGTGAACTAACTCAGTCCCACAAGGACAAATACTGCATAAACCATTTTTGTAGAATGAGTGTGAGAATCCAAGGTGGGTGGGGGAGGGTGGAAATAGAGGGGTGAGGAGGCGGGGTAGGGTGTTAATCATAGGGTTGCATAATTCAATGGGTGGGTGGAGTGAAGGAAATAGGAAGGATCTTTTGTGCAAAACAATGTATTCAAATTTGGTAAATAAATCAGAGTAATCCAAAAAATTTAAAAAAGAAATCTAAAGCTATGTTATATTGGAGAAAATGTTCTGTCAAGGACCTCTTTAATAAAGAGCAAGGCTATCAGTTTAAAGACTAAGGTGTCCCTGATGCAAGCCATGGCATTTTCAGTTGCTTCCTATGCATGCAGAAGTCAGACAATGGGATGGGTAAAACCAAAGAAGGAGTGAGGTCTCTAATTGTGGTGTTCATGAAGAACAGTTAATGTACTATGGCCATGCTACAAGAATAAACAAATCTGTTTTGAGAGAAGTACAACCGCTTAGAGACAAAGATAGTGAAACATTGTCTCACATACTTTGGACATGTTGTCAAGAGGTGCCAGTTTTTGGGAAAAAGATATCAGACTGAAAAAATTAAAGCCCTCCACAAGATGAATTGACACAACTGCAGCAACGGTCTTGAGCATGGTACCGATTGTGGGGATGGTACAGTTCACAGCAAGATGCCGAGGGTTGCTATGAGTTATAGTTAAAGGCATCTGACAGCAACAACCACAGCCTTTATGTAGGAACCCTGCTGGCACAATGGCTAGGCGGTGTGCTGTGAACCCAAAAGGTGATGGTTGGAACCCATCTGTCTGCTTCTATAAAAATACACAGCCTAGGAAACTCCATAGGACAGTTCTCAGTCGTATAAGAGGATAAGAGGATTAGTCAGAAGCAACTTGAAGGAAGTGTGTGTGTGTGTGTGTGTGTGTGTGTGTGTGTGTGTGTGTGTGTGTGTGTGTGTGAGAGAGAGAGAGAGAGAGAGAGAGAGAGAGAGAGAGAGAGAGAACAGACTCTAAGGATAATTCAGATCTCTCATAGTTCTCAAGTGGCAACAATTTCACCTCCAGCCAGTCACAGTTTAAGGGACACTACTCTTCTGCACTATCCTAGAGATCAGGATATGCTAGGAACATGGAAATCTCTCTCTCTCTCGCTCACTCCTGCGCTCTCTCTCTCTCTCTCTCTCTCTCTCTCTCACACACACACACACACACACACGCACACACACGCACACACTTTCTACAGTCTACTTCTACATCTATAAAACAAAAGAAGTTGATTAGATTATTTCTAGGAAGATCCAGTGGCCTAATCTGCAGGGTCCTAAATTGCTAGCCCAAACACCACAGCTCTCTCTGATGCCTCAGATGCACCAATCACTTGGAGGAAGAAAATGCTCAGTCTCCTCCAGTACAATTTGTAGTTGTTAAGTACTGTGGAGTAGAGCTACACCCTTTTCAAGACATGTAAATATTTGTTCTTTTGACCAACAATGGGCTGTTCAGTGTTCTTCTCCAACACCACAGCTCCAAGACGTCAAATCTTCTTCTGTCATCTTTATACCTTGCCCAGCTCTCAGATGCATTGCAAATGATCA